TAAGCACAAAGAAAAATTGAGATTTTAACACACATTTGATTTTTCATCTTGTACATACATTTTCCTAGTTATTATAAGTTTGTTAAATTTTTCAGTTAATTAATTTTCGTTTGAATAAAGCGCAAAACAAATTGCTAAACACGAGTTTAATCCGTTTTAGAACGTTCGTGATTTATGTACACCCAAGTTCGATAAGTTGTATTAAATACAAAACTCAAATATTATAAATATTCAAACATTTGTGTTTACTTTGGTCGTCAAATCCTTCGACAAACCTTCTAAAATCCCTCACACACAAAAGCTGACTTGGCGAGAACTGGATTATTAATCTACTATCAAATCCTCTTATTCCTAGGAAAAGCTTCTTTCCTCAACAAAGGGAAACTCATTGTAAAACACGGCGCACAAAATTCATCGGACAACTATGAAGTCGACTATATTAGTTTTGTTGTGTTGGCGCATTCTTCGGATATTTTACTACGAGACAGTCTGAAATATTCTGAAAAATATGGCGAAAAATCTCATAGAAACGGTATTTCAACCTTTCGCACGCCACATACCAGACAATTCTTTGCGTCTGGCCGTATATTTCACTGCAAGGTTTCCTGTTCGTGTTTATTGTTTTATGGAATTCTAGATGCCCTCGACATTAAATGTGACTTCTAGATTTATTCTCCACAAGAATCATTTTATGTGCGCTGGACATGCTATTTAATGTCATTTTCTAGATTTTAAACTCTGGCGCAGGAAAACATCTATTTCGTGGTGTTTTGTAATTAACTACAGGACTAGTATTTGTTGAGAATAAACTATTTAGATATCAAAAAAAAGTTATTTTAATTTGTTATTTAAATAAATTTCATTTAGTATTCTTTAAAGGAAGTTTTTTTTTCCTCTCAGAAAAATGCTCTGTTGTAAGTAACAAGTTAAAATGAAGCAGTTTATGGTTACCGACGCATTAGGTTTGAGGAAAAAAAGGTTTCTAAAGTCCGGCCCTCGGCTTCTAACTAAAAACTTACGTCAATATTTATACATTTCCCGGTTATATATTTTTTTATAATCGTCGTTGAACAGCCAACCCAATTTCGGGTTTACGACTACTAATGTTCAACTCCGTAGCCTTGTAATATTGAACCAAACCAGAAGACAAGGAAACTTCTTGATCAGTACCCCCAGAGGTATTGATTTGTTATGGGAACATGGAGGACTTTGCAACGTGTCCAGGAAACAGACAGATTTAACGTGTATCAGTCACCATTTAATTAATACACGGGGAGTCTTCGGCCGGCTGGGATCGAACCCACGAACTCTTGGACATGGGCCCAGTGCCCTACCAACCAAGCTATCCCTACCTCCCCTGTTATATATAAAATTTTTTGACTTGTACATTTCTAAAATATAAAATAAATAAAAAATGGACTGAAAGTGTTGTTTAAAAAAAATATAGCGTGGTGTCCCTCCGCGCGGAAGAAGTGAAACTTCGTAATGTGGAAATGAAAATAGGAAGGGGTAGAAATTGATTTTTGGTGAAATCATATTGTTTCTTTAAGACAAACTTCATTAACATTGCTTACAATTCACAATTGATCGCATCTTTTAATTATCATTTTCGAATGGAGAAATATCCAAATCTATAACATTTGTACAATGGGATTCTGGTAACTAAAGTAAGATACGAAATGTTTGAGTTCTATTTTTTCAATATTTCTTGCAAAAACTGCATCAATGCTAGTTACCCCTTTGGTTGTTGGATCATTCCTACCATTTATCATTTCCAATCCAAATTTGTCTTTAAGGAAGGTTGATAATGTTTCAGCTTCAGGTAACGAGAAATTCACATTAAAATCTCCTGCAAGGATCACAGGCCGCTCGTTAAACGTTTAACGCAACCTTGTTAGAAGTCGCATTAGAAGTTTCACTTCAAAAAAAAAAAAAANAAAAAAAAAAAAAAAAAAAAAAAAAAAAGCTGGGGCTTAGAGAGAAACTGATTGCTGATTTGATATCAGTGACGTTAAAATATCCAAGATCTGTTAAATCTCATGCAACAGGGAAGAAAAAAAAATATATGTGTTCCTCTGTTTTAACTCTACTTCTCTCTCTTAGATGTAAAAATTTATAAATTACTTTCGTTCTTTTTTTTAAAAGAAAAAAATGTATTTAGCAATCATCTTGGTGAAATTTGAATGACACTTGGAAACAGCAGTTTGCTTGCGCTTGATGAATTAGACCATATTTGTCAGGATCCTCTCTCCTATTTGCGTAACGAGCCATTTGTAAGTGACGGGATTTTCAAAAATGAATTACATCTACATCTAGGAAAAAAGTCTTCAAACAGATGTTTTAGAACTAACATACTCTGCAGCACCTTAAGAAAGCCTTGTAGCAGAAGTTCTTGTTCCAAAAATAGAGATTTGTTTGCTTTTGCGATCTGTCTACGAAGCGATAAAAACAAAAGGTGCGAAGAAACATTTCCATAGAATGTCGTAATTTTACCCTTTGTATATACGACTATGTCGGGTTCTCTAAATACAAAAACATGTTTATTCCAGATTTTTATTCCTCGGGGTTTTGTCTCTGAAGCACCCTCTTCCAAAGTTTAGGTATGTTTTCTTTTCCGGTGAAGTACCAGAAATTTCGAGAAATTTTTCCACTATTTTATTTTTAGACTCGTCTTAGGTGATGGAGCAATAGAAACTAAGCCTTAGAGGCATTAAGAAACAAAATACGACTTGGAGCTTTGAAAATGTGCTTGTGCAAGTCTCGCTGCTGCGTTTAAATATTTATTTATTCTATTCTGAAGGAATTCAAAAATAGCTTTTCTGGCTATAGAAGCTTTTCAGAAAATGTTGTTTGTGGAGTGTTATTATTTTCTGGGAAATAAATTGTGATGGAGTGATGGAATTTGTGATGGAATTATTTAGAACAATTATAATTGGAAATTTGAAGTTTTATTTACTGCTGATTAACACTAGAAATCCTGAAACTTAGTTTATACCTATATTGCCCAAAAGCAGTCAAAATGACTAGATTGTAAAAGAATAAATAATGTGTAAAGAACCTTGCTTAAAATTAATTTTTAATATTTTTTATATTATTTACAGTTATATAACAAGTTATTAGTAAATATTAACAATAAAAAAAGTATATGTTGTACAAAATTCTAAGAAATTGTTTCATTACATACATCATTGTTTTTCTAATTGAAATTAAAAGCAGTCAAAATGACTTCCTTAGGCAATCTAGTGTTAATAATAAGTGATAATTTTTTAATGCTGCTTTGAATTGTTTAACTTTGCTTTGCTTCATGAATGAATATTTTAATAAATTCATCAATTCCTCTGCGAATGTTAGTGTGATCGTAAACCTTTAATTGTTCTTTTTTTATTCATCTTCTTCATTTGCGGCCTATTTATAAACTTTTTTACGATAATTCTTTTGGATATTAAGTTTACATATATTCTAAACACACTTAGTTCCATTGTTTTAAAATTCTGTTTTGCAAACCTTATAAACATTATAATAAGACGAAAATATTATGGTTGTATGAACTAAACAGTTTTATTAATCGATATCAAATATAGTAGAAAAGTTTGGGGAAACAAGCTGCTAATAAATGTTTCGAAGATAGTGATAAATTAGTATATACAATAATTTCAGAAATGGGTGATTTAAAAAAGAAAAACCTTGCTATAAAAATTAAATCCGCGATCCGGGTTTTTCTTATATTAATATTCTAGTTTAACCGTTTGTGATGTGTTTTGTTGATGTTACTGTGAATAATCGAAATAGGTAGCTGTTATCTTCTACCGATGAATGTTGACAATCACATAGTTGCTTTGGTAAATGTCCGAAATGTATACTAGCAGGGGTCTGTTTAGAAGAAATTTGGGTCCGTTAACGGACCCTTCACGAAATATCTTTTCATAAAAACGGACCCTTCACAAAATATTTTAACTTAAAAACGGACCCTTCACAAAATGATTTTTCTTTCAATCGGACCCTTCACAAATTTGTTTATCTTCATTATTATTTTGTTAATCGAATAAACCCTTTCCAGGGCAGAAAACAAGAAAGATGGATGTAAATGAATTAAGTTTTGTCTTCAGTAGACGATTCTTCCATTATTCGTCCGAAATTAATATTCTGCGTTCAGCAGTATAGGCTAAATACCAAATATTTGTATGTTGCATCTCTTATTTAGAAGCAGCAATTGTTGTTTATTTTTTAAAATTTAATTTTTTCAATTATAATTTTACAGTGTTGAGCATAATCTTGTATATCTTTACAATTTAAAAACTCTTTGTAAAAGTTTTTTTTTTTTTTTGCAATAACGGACCCTATTTGCACAAATTCGTAACAGCGGACCCTGGTTGAAAGAATGTGAGTAATTTTTTCACAATTTCACGAAAAACGGACCTTTCACAAAATGTCTGAACAGACCCCTGATACTAGGTCTAGTTAAGTGCCACTGCCCAGTATCTATATACATTTGCCCGGTATACCCTACAATGATGTTTTTTTTAAAAAAGTCAGTGCCACTGCCCGGTATACATTTGTCCGGTACTAACAGATATTAATATATGGAATAAATATAATAATATCATCCAATACATTAATATCAAATCGGATATAACAAATATTTTGGACATTCACCAAAGCGACTATGTGATTGTCGACATTCTCTTGATTTTACTCATTCATAAGAATTGATGGTTGAGAGCTACCATACGATAGCAAAGAGTTAAATTCTATATATTTAGCAGCGTTTGTACTATTTACTACGTATTTGTGTAAAGTTTTTCTTTCCTCTTATATTTGATATTATTAAATTCTAATAAAATTGAATAAATGATCTTCTAGTGTAAAATCTTGATGGTGCGAAACCTGCCTTTTATTTTATTTCAATATAAGTAAAATATGGCGACTATCTTTTTTGATAAAAGTATAGTCTGCGTCTGTACAGTAAAGATTATTAAAAAGTCTCATGTTTTCTATTGCAGTATCTCGAGTCTTCACCAGGCGGCTCTCATGTGCAGCGTTCCTATTATCCAACTCCTTCTTGATGCCGGTGCTCAAGTAGACATCAAAGATAACAAAGGTAAAATACCTTATACGAAATTTTTAATGTTAATATTTTTTTTGATTAATAAACTTCAAGCAACCATTTTTTTTTCAATCAATTTGCATATTTTTGGCTTATTACATTTGTCATTGTGTTACAATTTATTATTTTGAAAGTATTGCTTTCTCAAATGGCTGATAAGACAGTTGTTTAGGAAGCTCGCTTTTTTTTTTCTCTTATAAATTTATGATATACTACATAAAATCATTCTTGAGCAATTGTTTTTTTATGCAGTTAAAATAACTGGTTGATAACCCTGGTTAAAATAACTTCGTTTAAAGCTGCTTTTGTATTTTATTTTTCTTTGTACTTATAAAGAAACAAAAAAAGAAAAACCCATTTATAGATGTATCCCAAATTCTGACATTCGCGTAATTACTGCACTATTTCCAATGTTTATTTTATAACCGCCGCTTAACAGTAGACCCAATTTTGAGTTTACTACTACTGATGTTCAACTCCGTAGCCTTGTAATTTTGAACCCAATCCAGAAGACAAGGAATCTATTGGACCAAGTATAGGGAGAATTTCGCCACCTTGTAGGAATTTTGATTTAACTAATCGTTACATGGAGAGAAGAACCACGAAAATATCCCACGGTTAAAAGGAGACTCTAACACATAATCCATCTACCATTGAAGATATTTTACGTCAGCACAGCGATGCGAGCCAGGTGCAGAATTCGCTTCAACCAGCCATCCCTAGGATTCGAACCCGGGGTACCCCATTAGAAGGCGAGCGCAGTAAAAATGTTGTGTCCTGTGAACTTCAAAATTTATGATAACAGTGTAGTTCGACACAGTAATTAAGAATAATAAAAAACACAAAGTTTTTCCGAAATTACGAAAAAAAAATTTAACTACATATGACTCGTTCACTTAATCAACCTATATTATAAATTACTATTTATTTATTTATATTAATAAAAAAATATTATGAAGAAAAAATAATGTACAAAAGCACACCTTAAATTAAGCAAGGAAGGAGGTCAATATTTTTTTATTTTTTTTTATTTCCAATGAGCTGCACTATCGGTCTTGCCGATGAGCAGACCTAGTGTGTTCTCCAGACGTGGTATCCACTCTTTCAGGACCACCACAATGGGTGAGATACCGTTGGTCATGTTAATTTGAACGTCTAGTTTCTGCCACACTAGATGGCAGCACCGAGACTCTATTTGGATGCTAAAGTGCACTAGGAATTTAATTTTGCCGGAAATGCCAAGAGCCAAT